CCTGCTGACTTACTGTAGCTTTGCATTTTGTTCACTTGTGACAATTAAATGATTAACTCAGTGACCTGTAGTAACCAAAAGCTGAGGTTAAAAGTGGATTAGTGAGTTAAGTAGCCACAATTTTTTTATAAAGCTGAGTCTGTCACCTCCTGCTCTGGGCAAAGAACTCTGGCTTATGTCCTCCTCTCTGTAAGCATCTATAAAGTTTTGGGGTTTTTTTTTGCTGCTTAAGTTGCACTTTGGAAAGATACGTGGTATTAATGCTTGTAGTAGGTTGCTGTCAGTAACACTTCGTGAAGAATTTAGTGGAAATCAGCGTGTCTATCTAGTTCTGTATCTGGTGAACTGCTTGTTCATGTAGAAAGCAAGCTCTGGAGATGCTGATGGAGGAAAAGCAGGACTAGCCATTGGTGAGAAGATGGGTGCAAAAGCATCCTCTAGCTGGAAGCTACCTTGTAGCAATTGGAGTGGCAGTGAGCAGGCTAACTAGGAGCATTAATGGCTTGGAAGTTGTAAAACCTCACACTGTGAGAATGGTAGGAATTGGAGGAATTGAAGCATCCTGGTGGTTTCCACCTATCTCCCATAGGTATGGTGGGAGACTGGCCACAAATGCTGATATATCTCTTAAGCCAGGTGACTATCTTGACTGTCCTAGTACTTTACCTTGCAGCAGTCAGTGAAGGCAGCTCTTTCATATTGTAAGATCTATGCTCAGTGTCTAGCAAAAAGAAAACATAAGGAGTTGCTGGGGAAGAAATTAGAAGAATATGCTACTCTATGAACCTGTGGTCTGTCATGTTTCGAATAGTTATCACCCCTGCCTTTGTTGCTCCCATCCTAAAGAAGGTACTGTAGGCCTGGAAAAATGATCCAGAAGTATGATAAGGATAATCAGAGGTATATGGTGACTCCTATACTGGGAGAGATTAAATAGTCTGTGATCCTTTCACTTGGAAAAGATAAGACGGTTGTTAAAAATGTATTAAAAAAAAAAATTATGGGGTGGACTTTGTGATTACGGAACCATCATTCATAGGGCTTTGTTTCTTTCTATAAGTACAGAACTAGTGAGGAACGCAGGATGGAAGTTTTGAACCATGTGGAAGTTTTGAGACGAAATAATTGGTTTTGCCATAGTTAAACACTGGAGCATACTGCTACCAGGCACTATTTATGCCAAAATTTAAAAAATGTTCAAGAGGTGTTTAATTAAACCCATGGAAGAAAGTTTCATCAAGAGCTATGTAGAATAAAAAGGAGATAAACCCTCTGGTTCAATAATCTGTTAACTCCATATTGTGGAAGACTGTGGGAGCATATTGTGTTTTTGCCTAAGCGTCTGTTCTTGTTTATTCTGAGACAAGATTGACATTTTTCTGACTCAGTGGAGCCATAATTATGAGCTTGTAGAGCTGATTTTCAAGTCTTATTTCTTTTTCTTTCCAGTCTCTCTTTCTAGGAGAGATTCTTCAATGTAGCACCTGTTTGCCCTCTTTCACATGGCAGGCAAATAGCTATATTCCAGGGTGGGTCTCTGTAATGAGTGTATGACTTTAAGATTAATTTTTAAGAAGTCAGGGGGAGAGAACATGTGATCTGTGCACTGTGGGTTTAAAAAAAAAAAAAACATATATCTGTACTTTTATTTAGCTTTAAAAAGATGAAAAATGAAAACAGTCCAGAAACCCAAAGAAGTAAAACAAGCGCACCGTGGGAGGAAAATGGCCCACAGAGGTAAGGCGAGGCATGATGTCCTAGGTATTGTGCAATTATAAATATCATGCCATGGCAATAGGTTGAAGGATATTGGGTAATATATTAATGTATTAACAGGGTCACAATAAATCTGTATTGCATATAAGAAGATAGGTCCTGTCATGGATACACAATTATTTAAAAATCAGGAAAGTAGGTGTAGGATGAAATTGTCAGTGGATGATAGTCACCAGCGGCTTTCCACAGGGATCTGTTCATAGACCTCTGCTGTTGAGTATATTTGTCAAAGACCTGGAAAAGGAGTGATAAGGTTTGGTGATGGGACAGAATTGTTTAGGATAGTGAGAGTGGAAGTTGTCTGTGAAGAGTGTCAGAAAGACCCCTAAAGTATCAGTGACAAGTCACTGGATGGTGGATGATGTTTAGTCATCAGTAACTGTAAATAGAGGCACATGGGGGAAAAAAATAACCCTGGATTTCTGAGTAAAATGAGGTGCTGTGGAGTTATGATGGATAACTTAATGAAAACATCAACTATGTAGCAGTCAGAAAAACAATTAGCAATTATTAGAAAGGAAGAGAACATCATTATGCCATTACATAAATTTATGGATCACATATTTGCTCCAAGAATTGTGAGTGTAGTTCTGTAGTTCCTTATCTCAGGAAAAGGAAAAGGCTTTGAAAGAGGCAGCAACAGTAATCAAAGGTGTGAATGTCCATGCAAGAAATCTGTACAAGGAGCATAAGCCAGGCGGGACTCTTTCTTCAGTCTGGGAAAGAGATAATTTCAGGGTATGTGGTCTAGAAAATCATGAGTAGTACAGAGAAAGGAGAGAGATCAGGATTGTATTTTTCCAGTGTAAGAACTTGGGATCTTCAGGTGTAACTCTTGGAGGTGGTTTAAAAGCATTGAGAAAGGCAGTAAGTAGTGACTCACCGTGAGTAGGAGACCTGTGGTCGTCCTTTAGAAGAGTTGCTGAAAGTTAGTGGATTCCTGGGAGAAGCTGGGTGAGTCATGGAACAGAAATCCCCAAGGGCTTCTGAAGGTATAGCAGCTGGCTCAGTAAATCCCCTGGACTGGGAATAGCGGGGGACTGAGAGCGCCCTGGGGAGCTGTCATATATATTCAACTTCTTGCTTCCTGTAAGTGGTTGCTTACAGCTACTGTTGGAAACAGGCCACTGAATTAGACGGCTTAAGTGTAGACTGGATTAATCCACTAGACTGGATTAAGTGTAATCCAGTATGGTCCTGCTTTTGTGTGGTGGTTCAGATCTATATGTCGTGTGTCTTTTGGGGCACCATGATGATTTAACCTGTGTGGTCCTTCTGTAAACGTCAAGAGTTTTCAGAGTAAGGACAAGGCAGCGTGCAAATATTCTCTTGCTATGGTAGACGATTATTTGTGAGTTTTAAAGAAAAAGCAGTGTCAGCTTGTCGCATTATGGCTCCAGTGGTAAAATTACTCTAAGAATAGCAAGAAGTTTGGTCCCCCAGGAGCCAAAGAATGGTAGGACTGAGTTTTTGCAAGTCCATTTGCTCTAAAGGACTATGCAGTTTTAGACACATAAGCAGACTGAATGTTGCACAGAGGCTTTCACAGCTTCTAATAATAATTCTTGTTGAGGTGAACTGTGGCAACTTTTCAACTGTGCAGAGCAGTGCTGTAATCAACAGCCTGCAGAAGCAGGTGGAGAAGAATGTATCCAATCTGAAGGCCAGAGGGTTTTAGGAAAGCAGAAAGAAATACCTTAACTGGAATTTGGTGAGAATATCACATTTACCACATAGTTGTTGTGAAAAGGGCTAAGTGATGTTAGGTAAAGATGTGTGGCTGAGTTTAGCATCCTTCCTCCAAAAAGTTGTGGACATCAGTAGAGCACCTTAGAGTGATATGTAGTCCATCACAGGCTCTGTTACACTGTTGGAATAGGTCCTTATGCTTCTGTAGGAAGGTATCGCAGGATAATCCATACAGGCATTTGATAGTCTACATACAATTTGGTAACAACCCAACCCACTGGGTCCCACCCAGGCTTAAGTACATAAGCTGAAGTTTGAAACATCTCCAGACCATTCACTGGCAGAGGGTTGTGTGGATAAACAGCTAAAATTTTTTCAGCATCCCAGGCATTAATTCTGTGATGAAGGTGTATTTCACAACAGGAACACTGTTTTCGTACTTAATATCCATAGAAAACATTAAGAATAGAGGTACATTTGAATGCCTACCTCTGGGTTGGATAACTCATACTAAAGCACAGGAGTTTTATTATGCTAAAAGAATATGTATATACTTGGTTCTACATATTGTAAGCTTAGAGCTGTTGGCTTGGCAATGCTAAGAGGTTTCTCTCCTACATTTTCAAGGTTCCGTGTAAAATATTTATTGCTGGAAAGCAGTACCATCTGTATTTACATAGCATGCATGTACACACATGCGTGTATAGCTGAGTCTGTATATAAGTGTGTGTGTGAACCTTCTCATTTTTGTAGGCTGAATCTCAGTTGGCTGGCTTAATTCTCCTAGAAGTTTTAAAGCCAACTGTTTGTTCTTCCTTTTTAACCCTAGTGGGCTGTATAATTCTCCCAATGACCGCAATAAATCACCGAAGTTTCCTTACTCTCGGCGACGGAACCCATCAGGTGGCAGCGAGAATGAGTCTGGGCAGCCAGTCCGGAGGAGGTAAGAGTCCTGGGATTAATTACTGTTAGCTTCTCACAGTAGAAAGCTTGAGGTCCTGCATGCTGTGTGTTCAGTAAAGGCTCTTTGAGACACAGCTGGGTCCTGGGAAAAGGGGTACTCTAGGGGCCAGTTGTTAGTCAAAAAAAAAAACTGAGCAAGAATACCAGATCTGCTTTTGGAAAGGAAGCTTTGGTCAGGCTTTTTGCTTGTGTGCTGTTTTGGGTACTAGGAAAATGTGTTAAAAATATAAGAAATTGCATTATTGGCACGTGCAAGATCCTTTCAGTTGTTGCAGCTATTTTCCCTTGTGAAGGAAAGGATTGATGGATGTTGCTTGCTTGACAATGAGCTTCTAATACGGAGCAGTATTTTGGTTTAGGTACTTTGCTTTGCTTTAAGTGCAACAAAGATTAAACGAGTGAGCCATAAAGCTGTCTTCAACAGTCCCATGTGTGAATTGCTTTACATGAGAGAGGATGCCAGTAAAAATACAACTATGAGATACTTAATGTGGTTTTTAATGGGTACATACTGAACTGAGTAACTTGGAGAAGTAAAATTAAATGGATGGAGATTCTGTGCTGTGTGTCCTGGAGTATGTCCAAAATGCGAATTACAGGGGCAGTTCTGAAGTGATACAGTTTTGAGAGACTACATGTTACCTGGGATGATTTGTCCTGCTGAGAAGCTGCTTTGATTGCTAAGATACTCTGGTGCTGTGATCTGCTGTGAAGTATAGACAAGCATAGCTGCTGTGCCTTATTCATTGCAGTCTTCTAGGACTGCCTTACAAGCCAGCACTTTGGAGTTACGTATGCTTCTGACATCTCTGAAGGGATTACCTGTTTGGCTTTCAAAGCCAGGGTTTGCAGAGGAATCTCTGAAGATGCAGCTACATCTATCAGGAAACGTAGTTAGGTGTGGAGCTTTTATATTTGTAAGGATTCTGAGCTGCTCCAGACCTTTTATCTGCCATTAGCTGTCTAGAACAAGAGTGAAGAAACTCGCCCATGGTGTATACTTAGTGACCTTGTGCCTGAGTCAGAGTAAATCAGCATAGCTCTTTCTAAGTCAGTAGAGTTATGTTGATTTACCCTGTTGGATAGAGCCCTTGTAAATGTTAATAGCAATGTGTTTCCTGAATGGGTTTTCTGATTCATCGCTCTCTTAGTTGTCAGACAGACTCATTTGACTCTGTAAAAACAAAGGAATAGAGATGTGCAGTGCAAAACTGTCTTGTACCAAGAAAAGAACAGTGGTTTTGCACTATGCAGTAGCAAATTTTTTGAGATGCAGAGCATTTATCATCTGGGATTTGCATTTGGCTGATCTACTTGTTGGACAGTTGGTCATGCCAATAGCAAGTTTTCTTTTGGACCACCAGACCAACAAAATATTTTTAAAGGTCTTATCTCATATGTGAGACTGTGAAGACTGACAATAGTAGGTAGATTCTGACCTAATTATGTCTTCCTGAATCTTGGTTTTATTCATGCACTTTCCTTTTTCAACTGTTTAATAACAATAGCCATGTTGTTTATGCACTCTTTAGTGGAATTAAGAGAAAAACATCAGGCTTTGCTATGCTGGAAACAGTAGGAAACTCTAAAGGCTAGCATACCATGCTTAACCTTGCAAGCCAGGGGTTTGCAGTGAGAGCTTGAATGGGATCATGCCTTCACAACTTACTGTAGAGGTGTCCTGAAAAGTTTAAAACAAGCACATGCCCTTTTTCCTCTGCCTTAAATCCTATTGAAAAAAAAACCTTTGTAAAAAAATTTTTTTCCCTAAAAAGATGGGAGTTTTTGTGTATTTGTGTTAAATGACCCGATGGCATTTCATTAAAACTTCCTTAATGTCACAGGAAAAATCAAAACAGTGGCGAAGATTCAGATTTAAAGCAAAGGAGAAGGTAAATATATGATCTATAGTAGCCATGAAATGATAGCGAAGGTACTGATCATATTTTAGTTCCCTGCCCCTCCCTTCCTTCCTCCTCCCCCATCTTCTTAAATGTTTAAAAGGCTTGTTGTGTTCTGCCCATTTAATTTTTCCTTTCCTATCTTACTTTTGCTAAAACACTCTGTAGCATAACCTCATCACGGCACAGATTCCTACAAGCTGCCTTACACATTGTTACTATACCATGCTAGAAGCAGTTTGCAGAAGTTTACTAAAGGCTTGTCTGCAACTTGAAAGTCAATTCCAGAAGTTTTAGCTTTTGGATTTTGCATCTGCAGATTTTGTTTTGAGTTCTCCAGCTTCCCAGTCCACTTTTAATTAATCTATTTTGAAAACAAGTGTACTATCATTTGAGATAAACTCTCCTGCAAAAGGTAGGTGCAGAGGCATATGCAACTTCTTACAGGCTTCTCACTGTCTTGCATGTTTTTTGCTGAATATTTTCTTAAGCTTCTTTTTTTTTCCTGTGCAGTCTTGACTGCTTGTCACATTTCCAAATAAAATGCTGATGTGAATGCGGGTGTGCCCTTCAACAACTTCAGCTTTTGACAGATTTTTGCATCTGGAGTTCTTGAGTGCCACATCTGCCTGCCATGACTCTGTGCTATCATTCTCCTCACTCCTGTGCTCCTGCCCTGGCTGCTGGAAAAAGGAGACAGTGCAGTGCATTTCGATGTTAGAGTCTCTTGAAGCTTGCAAAGGAGAGGAGGCACTCCCAGGATCTGATTCACTGCTGCAGCACGGGAAAGGAGCTCTGGCAGAGATACAAACATCTCAGGGACAATCACAGGAAGTCAGGGAAAGTGCTTACGTACTTTGCACCTATTATAAGATAACAGATTATTTTCCTGAAGGATGTTACCATTACAAGCTCCCAGTGATAGTCCCATGTTGGATGTCCAGCACATAAAACTGAGAGGATTTAGTTAGGCATCTCAGGTGGAAAATCCCAGTGCTCAGAAGGGACCTCTTCCCAAAGGCTGTGCCTGCTGTGTTACAAATGTACAGGTTTGTTATTGTATATTGGGATAGACCTTCTCCACTTCCTCACAATTTTGCTGCTTTTCTCTGATTTAATCAGAAAAGGACTGCACCAGAATATGAGCCTTCTCTGTCAACTCTTTCTCTGAAATAGCAAATCCTGCAACCTGCCCCACATCCCAAGCCCCCTCCTGGGCTGTGTTTGTTCTGTCTCTCTTGCCAAACTGACTATGCCTTCTTTCTTGCTCCTTGTGTCAGACGATATATATATACCACCTGCAAAATATCAATATATTGCATGACCAAGAAAACATGAGGATGAAAGGCGCTTTGTAATTGTCAGAGATCAGGCAGATCTCATGTGTTCTTGCACCTGACTTCAGAAACCACCTTTGTTTCCTTTTTTGGTATTTTATTCAGTTCAATAAAAGCTGATGTTTAATATTCAGTGAAAGATAGTATTCTGACACCCAGCATGAGCAGCTGCCACTCAGCTGACAGCTCAGCAGCTCTGCTGTCTCCTCAAAAGTACTTTCCTGACAGGGAACACAAGGTAATTTGATGTGCAGTATCCAAAAGGTGGATCAGATTTCCATTCCTGAAAAGCTAGAGAAAGGCTTATCTTGAATTTGAGCAAATAGGATGTTTTATCTTGCACTTCTCCTGCCACGGTGAGATTTTTGCTGCCTTCATACCTTATGGGATAAATTGCTTAAATCAGAGTAAGAAAATACTTGAAGTGCTGAGAAATGTAAAAGAACAGAGTCGCTCTGATGACCTGGAAGTGTAAAAGAACAGTGTTGCTTGGATGACCTAGTAAAGTTGAGATTCAAGATTAGTGGAATATTTATTAAACATCTGATAAGATTTAGGGGGAAAAAAGGTATGCTTTTGGGCATGTAATGTCTGTTGCAGTTCTGGGGCATTTATTGCTCTGAGCTCTCTGAATGTGCTTGAGCCAACAATCTTTTGGACACAATCTTTTAATCTTCCTTCTTCCTTTGCGGTTACATTGTTCTGCAGTAACATACATCTTTCTTACCCCCACTTTCAGCTTCACCCAGAAATGTGTATTTTTACCTGGGAAACTGGCTGTCCTGGGCCTCTCAATGGCTTTAAATTATGAGCCATGAAATTTGGGGATGGGGAGAGGTTTCTGCTTCTCCTCTAGGGGAATGTCACTTTTCCAAGCCTATTCCCTACAGACAAGCTGGGTTGAACTGATTTTCCTAGGCTTATTCTAAAACATTTCTGTTTGATTGGGAGCTATTTGAGTTAATGATTTCCTAGTTTGGGAGAGGAGGGAGACCAGACTCCATAGACTCTGAGGCATTTAATGACGGCAATTTGATAAAACCAACCATAATTCACTGGTATTACGGGCAAATCCATGAGACAGCTGTGTCAGAATGAGATCTGTAACAGTGTCCTAGTTTCAGAGACAGAGGGTAGAGTGATATGTCCCTGACCAGATAGGACACTCAGGGGAGGTCCATGCTGCAGCTGTTCTGTTCCCTAGGAAGTCTCTCTCATCTGCTCTCGTCCTGTTTGGGCTCTTCTCCCTAAACTGTTAGAACGTGCAATGAGCAGGTGCTTGTCAATAGCCTCCAACCTTGTCATGAAATGCTTCCCCTTACCTGTTACCTACACCTAATGAACTGCCTGCACTCCTAAGTTTGTTTGAGGTCTAGTTTAACAAATTTGTTCTCTTACAAAAGTGGCTTTTCAAAGAGCAAAACAAAAGCCAAGAGGCTCGAGAAAGTATGTGTCTCTGTCAGTAGCATCAGGATTCATCCCTTATAATCTCCTATTTCACACCCAGAGACCTCAGAAGACAATTTCTCTTTTCCATTGCAGCAAAATCATCACTGATTCTAACTCCCAATATCCTAAATCCCTCTAGTTAATATTGATCCACTTTCCCCATTAATCAGCTGGGCTGTCAGTGCTGCAGAGAAACATGTCTTTCTTTGGTTGCTTTCAGAGACCATCATCCCACTAAAGAATGGTCCAGACCAGGTTTTGATAAGAGTGTAATTTTTTAGGACCTAGCCCAGTGATGGAGTAACAAGAGTCCTGGTTTCTAGCACCAGAGCCCTGACAGCTGGTCTATCTGCTCCAAAATGTTGATCGGTGGCAATGAAGGATTTAAGGGTCTCAGATAGTAGTGGCTAAGCACTTCTCTCTCCTGAGAGGAGTTTGCCTGTAGGTAGGCATATGCCCATTTTCTTCTTGAAGTTCAGCATCAGCCTGTTCCACCAGTCTTTTTCAGTAATAAATAATCAGAACCATAAATGTCACCTTACTATTTGAAGATTCGCAGTCAGAGCTGATACAGAAGTAACTGCTTTATTTCTTTCTCCTCACATGATGCACCATCTTTGTAGCTGTGCATTAGGTCATCCCAAAACTGTGCTGATACACACACCTGACAATCTGTGCACTTCAGCCTTTCTGTATTTATAAAGATCAGTAGAATCACAGTGTTAGTGGTGCTTTGTCCATACTGCCTGACATTTGAAAAATTATATGAACTTACTAGAAGCCAGATAGAGGTTGAGGTGAATAGAAGAAGACAGATCTGGTGAGCATTTTGTTTTGCCTGCAAAACCAGAATTAATGTGTTGTTGGGTGTCCCACAATATGCAAGAAGAAAAGAGCCAGAATGCATACAGTTTAAAGACGAAACATTTCACACCTCAAAGAAACTTTTCACTGTGGTGTACAGACAAAGAATACTGAGAGATAAAATAAAACAGACAAACAAAAATGCAGTGCAATGATTCAGAAGTAAAATAGCACTCACCTGACACTGCACTCTGGGTGCACTACCTTGAAAGCACTTATTCCCAATCAATTAATGAGAAAAAGATAATATGACTTTCAGTGTAGACAAGCCCTTCAGAGTCTTTTAATTCTGATTTTCCTAGTAATGTCTTTGCAGTGTTGTTCATTCCTTGTTTAGAACTTCAGTACTTCAGATGTTAATGGATAAATTCACCTTGAGATGTTGCTTTTCTCCTCTCTAGATCACGGTCTCGCTGTAACACCAGCAGTGGCAGTGAATCAGAAAATTCCAATAGAGAGCACCGGAAGAAGAGAAACAGGTGACCTTTATATATTTTAGACATAGAAACATGAAACATAAACAAATGGAGATGGAATTTTCTGAGATAAACCTAGTAAGAAGGAATCTAACATGTTTTATATATATACAATCCTCCTGAGGCAGCTTAAGGTACTTTTTTGAATAAGAAGAGAGATAACTGCCAAAATACATATATGTCAAAGGTGTATGCAATGAATGCATACCTGCTGTTGCTTGAGAACTCATTAATGAACTGCAAAATCAAATGTGGGGCACGTTTACAAAGGACTTGCAATATTAATGCAAACAAAGTGGATAATGGTGATGACAAGATATTCACAGCATATACTTCAATACCTCAAAAATTTCAAGTGCAGAATTTTAGCAGCAAATAAGCTCTTGAGGAGAATAATAAAAATATTTTAATGGATCTGAAACTCAGTGTTATTTTTAAATGCATGTATTTTATTTTATAAATATTTTTATTTTCCAAAATGTAAAGTGTGGGCTTAAACCCAAAATGTGTACCATGTAAGCTTTTAATAGGACAACAGTAGTTAATATCAAGTGATGCTAGCAAGTTTGGGTTTTTATATTCTATTTTTCTTGTCACTGATATGAAAAAATTAGCATAACAACTGATTTATTGTAGCAAAAAAATTCCTTCAGAACTGCAACTTTTATGTTTCACTTGAGATAAGAGCATTTGAGAGCTATTTATGAAAATGTATTTTTAAAAGCACATAGAATTTCTTCATGAAACAGAGCATCAGAGAACTGTCACTGGACAAAAGAGGAATTGTTTAAGGCAAATCTTCTAAGAAGCTGTCTGCACAAGCTGCCATAGTTTCCTGTGGTCTCACATGCAGCACTATGAGTGATAAATGATTTTCAGATATTTGGAAGCTCTTAGAAATAATTATATGCTAGATAGTGCTGCAGAAGTATGCAGTATAATAATATTTTAAGCATGACTTGCGTATTTAGAGAGATGCTAAAAAATCATTGTGACATTCAAATGGGCTGCTATAAGCATAGCTGAGCCATGAGATTTCTTTGGCGTTTATTTAAATCAGAGCATAGTCTTGTGAGATGCTCAGCTAACAATAACCTAGTGTGCATGGAAGATCTGTTTTCCAGGTGAGCTCTGAACTTTGAATGAAATGCTGAGTATAGTGTCAGTGATCAGAAGGTAAATGGTATTTTGTATCACTTTCTCTTAGAACACTCTTGCCAGGTTTTTTCTCCTGTGAAACTTCTTGTTCAGGGAGCTCCACAAGCAAGTGAAGGAAATTAGAGACTGACCACAAGAATGTTTTTAAGAGCTTCTTGCAATATAAAGATTGAATTGTAAGAAGGATTAAGTACTGCTTATCATTTTCTGAAGAATAAAAGGGCCTTTACCAACGCTTCCTCACCTCATGGAAAAGCGCTTAAAATTAAAAAGAAAAAACAAGTCCATTTGTATGGATTGTGTTTGGTTTTTTCACATTTTCAGAAATGTAGGATACATCAAAAATGTTAATGTCGCAGCATTTCTTTCTCTTAGGTGGTTACTTGAAATCAGACCAGATCAGAAGTCATTATCAGTGTTAAAGTAAACAAGTACTAAATGAGCTGGAGGTCTGAGACTTGTTCCTTGTCATTAGGTGCAGGAAAACCACCAGTCATAATGAATTTCTGCATTTTGTTAGCAGTCACAGCAGGAATATAATAAGTTGAAAGGGCACAGGCACTGAACAGCTTTCCCGTTAGCAGAGGTGAGTCAGCCCTAACAGGGTTAAATGGGACAATATAATGAGGCTTGCAAGTGCTGTTACTCAAGTTTTACCTGTTGCATAGATTAATACTAATTTATTTCCCAGTATGATAATCAAGTCCCTGGCACAAGAAGACACAAAGTTGTATTGTTTTATTGGAATAAAATGACTGAATACTCACATTACCCAAAAGAACATGCTTCTGATCATAGAAGAGTAGAATTTATTGTTCACACGAGAGTAGATCACTGTGAACTATTTATCAGATGAAAACTAATTATCAGAAAAAAACAGAAATGCAGATGAGAACTTCTGAAGGTAAAACACTGGAAAAAGGTTAGGGAGAAGTTCTTTCCTCGATCTCAGTCTTTGAGGTTTCACTGCATCATATGAATGTTTTATCCTAAGCAGAGGTTCATATGAAATTAAGGAAAAATTAAGGAACCTATGATGAGGATATTTCAGTCACAGAAGAAACCTATTTGCTATTTTTAATCCTATGGTCAAAATTTATTGTGTGGATAAAAATATATTAAACTAGTAGACAGTGTGTACTGGAGCATAGTCTTCTACTTGACTATACTTAGAAGACCTATGTGATTAGAATCACAGAATGACTGAATGGTTGAGGCTGACAGGGTCCTCTGGAGGTCACCTGGTCCAACCCCCCTGCTTGAGCAGGGTCATCTAGAACCGGGTGCCCAGGACCATTCCCAGACATCTTTTGAGTATCTCCAAGGAGGGATACTCCACCACCTCCCTTGGCAACCTCTGCCAGTGTTCAGTCACCCTCACAGTGACAAAGTGATTCCTGATGTTCAGAGGCAACCTCCTGTGTTTCAGTGCGTGCCCATTGCCTCTGGTCCTGTCACTGGGCACCACTGAGAAGAGCCTGGCTCTGTCCTCTTTGCATCCTGCCTTCAGGTATGTATATACATTAATGAGATCCCCATGAGCCTTCTCTTCTGCAGGCTGGACAGTCCCATCTCTCTCAGCCTTTTCTCCTGGGAGAGATGCTCCAGGCCCTTCATCATCTTGGTGGTCCTTCAAGGGACTCTCTCCAGTATGTCCATGTCTCTCTTGTACTGAGGAGCCCAGAACTGGACATAGTACTCCAGGTGTGGCCTCACCAGTGCTGAGTGGAGGGGAAGGATCACCTCCCTTGACCTGCTGACAGTAATCTGCCTAATGCAGCCCAGTATACCATTCAGCTGCTTTGCTGCAAGCGCATGTTGCTGGCTCATGCCCAACTTGGTGTCCACTGGGATGCGCAGATCCTTTTCCGCAAAGCTGCTTTCCAGTTGGGTGGCCCCAGCATGTATTGGTGCCTGGGGTTGTTCCCCCCCAGGTGTTGGACTTTGCCCTTACCCTTGTTGAACTGCATGAGGTTTCTGTCGGCCCATTTCTCCTACATATTGTGGTCTCTCTGGATGGCAACATGACCCTCTGGTGTATCGGCCCCTCCTCCCAGTTTGGTGTCATCAGCAAACTTGCTGAGGGTGCACTCTACCCCATCATCCAGATCATTAATGAAGATGTGAAACAGGATTGGACTCAGTATCAGCCCCTGGGGTCTACCACTAGTTACTGACCTCCAACTAGACTTTATGCCTCTGATCACCTCCCTCTGGGTCTGGCTGTTCAGCCAGTTTTCAATGCACGTCACTGTCTGCTCATCCAGCCCACACTTCAGCAGCTTCTCTATGAGGATCTTGTGGGAAAACACCACCAAAAGCCTTCCTGAACTCCAGGTAGACAATATCCACTGATCTCCCCTCATCTACCAAGCCAGTCATTTCATTGTAGAAGTTTCTCAAGTTGGTGAAGCATGACTTCCCCTTGGTGAATCTGTGCTGACTAATCCTTGTTATTTTCTTGTATTTTATGTGCCTGAAAATGGTTTCCAGGATTAGGTGCTCCATCACTTTTCTGGAGATTGAGGTGAGGCTGACCAGCCTGTAGTTCCCTGCGTGCTCCTTCTTGCCCTTCTTGAAGACATGAGTGACATTTGCTTTCCTCTAGTCTTCAGGCACTTCTGTGAATTGGCATGATCATTCAAAGATCATTGAGAAAGGCCTTGTAGTGACATCAGCCAGCTCCCTCTGCACCTGTGGGCCCCTGGACTTATGTATGCCCAGTTTTCTTAAGTCGCCCCTGACCTGATCCTCTTCCACCAATAGTATGTCTTCCTTGCTCCAGCAAGGGGTTACCCCTGGGCCTGGGATTCCTGAAGGCTGGTCTTGCTAGTAAAGACTGAGGTGAAGAAGGCATTTGGTACCTCCGCCTTTTCCATGTCCTGTGTCACCAGGTCCCCTGCCTCATTCAGCAGCAGTCCCTAGCCTTCCTTTTGCCACCTCTCTACTTACAGAAGCCCTTCTTCTATAGGTCCTGCACCTGGGTTGGGACAACCCCCGATATCAATGCAGGCTGGGGGATGAAGGGATTGAGAGCAGCCCTGCAGAGAAGGACTTGGGGGTACTGGTGGATGAAAAGCTGGACATGAGCCAACAATGTGCACTTGCAGCCCAGAAAGCCAACTGAACCCTGGGCTGCATCAAAAGAAGCGTGGCCAGCAGGACGAGGGAGGTGATTCTGCCCCTCTGCTCTGCTCTGGTGAGACCTCACCTGGAGTACTGCATCCAGCTCTGGGGCCCTCAGCACAAGAAGGACATGGACCTGTTGGAGTGGGTCCAGAGGAGGGCCACAAAAATGATCCGAGGGCTGGAGCACCTCTCCTGCGAGGACAGGCTGAGATGGGGTTGTTCAGCCTGGAGAAGAGAAGGCTGCGAGGAGACCTTATTGCAGCCTTTCAGTACTTAAAGGGGCCCTGTAGGAAAGATGGGAACAATCTTTTTAGCAAGGCCTGTTGTGATAGCACAAAGAGTACTGGTTTTAAACTAAAGAAGGGTAGATTTAGACTGGATATAAGGAAGAAATCTTTTACAGTGAGGGTGGTAAAGCACTGGAACAGGTTGCCTAGAGAGGTAGTGGAGGCCCCATCCCTAGAAACGTTCTAGGTCAGGTTGGATGGGGCTCTGAGCAACCTGATCTAGTTGAAGCTGTCCCTGCTCACTGCAGGGGGGTTGGGCTAGATGACCTCTAAATGTCCCTTCCAACCCAAAGCATTCTATGATTCTATGATTCTCATTGCCTTTGACATCCCTGGCCAGATTCAATTCCGTTTGAGCTTTGGCTTTCTTAGCCTCATCCCTGAATGCTTGGGTAACGGCTCTGTATTTCTCCCATGTTACCTGCCCCTGCTTCCACCTTCTGCATGCTTCCTTTTTGTGTTTGAGTTTTGCCAGGAGCTCCTTGGTCATCCATGCAGGCCTCCTGGCATTTTTGTCTGACTTCCTACTCGCTGGGATGGACTTCTCTTGAGCTTGGAGAAGGTGATTCTTAAATATTAACCAGCTTTCTTGAGCCCCTTTTCCCTTCAGGACCTTATCCCACTGGACTTTTCCAAGGAGATCTTTGAAGAGGCCAGAGCCCACTCTCCTGAAGTCCAGGGCTGTGATCTTGCTTTTCACTCTTCTCCCTGCCCTCAGGATCCTGAATTCCACCATCTCATGATCACTGCGGCCAAGTGCTCCTTTGACGTTCACATCCCCAATGAACCCCTCGTTGTACATTGTACCTAAATGATAACTTTATGCTCAGATATTTTGAGTGAGATTTCAAGAAACAAGTCTTCAGAGTTGCTTCTCTTAAAAGAGTTGATCATTGCATAAAAGTAGCTTGCTATCATATCGCCTGAAAGGGGACAAAACATCTCTAAGTCAACAGATGAGTGATGATAGTCTTACGACTTTCCATTTTACCATCAAGTCTTCCTGCAAACAATGCCTAATTTGTCACTGTGATAGCTATTAATCTCAACTGGGTTTATTTCACATGCCAGTAACAAGGATTTTTTTTTTTCCGTAAGACATAAATCAACTTGTTCCTTTGTAGGAGCAAAAAGTGAAAAGAATGAAAGGAAAGTTGTAATGGACTTGGAGTACAAGGGCAACACTTTTTTGTCAAAAGTATTTTTAAATAGAAATTTAGGTTTTGAGTTAAATTTCTTTCTACTTTTTTTTTTTTTGTTATCTCTGTTGCCAAAAAGCTAAAGATTTTGCCCCAGACTTGTTATGATTTGATCATTGCAGCTAAATAATGTATTTTGTGTAGACATTGTGTTACCCTGGTCATCCTTTACATTGTTAAATGTGAGCATAGTACCTCTCTTTGCAGCTGCAGAATGAATGCTTTGTTGCTTTGTGTCTCCATCTAATAGAGTTCTGCTGTGGTACAGCAGTACTTTGAGTGTGCTGACTCTGCTTCTTTTAATAGCTGCCATGATACTTTATATATTTATATTTTTGGTATTTTGCTCAAATTAAAGAGATAAATCGGAATGATGAACACTGTTGTATGTTACAACAAGTAGAAGAGAGGAGGCAGAGTAGAAATACGAAGTACTTGAAGATGAATAAATGTATTGCTAAGGACTGTGCTTGCTACACAGCAGTAGATGCTAATCTACTAGATTAGTAGAATGGACCAGAGCAGAAATGATGCTTTGTATTCCCTTAACAAGAGGGCATTCATGGTCTGTGTGGAAGTGTGGCTTCAAACACGGAGGTGCAGGATCACATGTGCTCATTGCCAGAGTATGGACCTCGTGCTCTGTTGCGTTGTGTGGGTTTCCTGAGAAGAATGAGTAGCTCTCGGTTATTTTACAGCAAGCATCTGAATGCCTCCTTCGGAGCACAGCTGTCTACTTGACCTGTTAGGAGTTGTTGTTTGGGAGACATGGGGCAAGGTACTGGCAAGCGGGCAGACCCCCCCACCTATGGCAGCAGCGCTGGTCTGGCAGCTGCATGTCTTCTTTTTGTGCAAATGACTGTGAGGCAGTTGATAGTGTTTATACCATGTGGGGTGACTGCTGTCTCCACAAAGTGGACTATTCAGGATGAAAATCACAATTCATTACTTGTTGCTGTGTGAGTTCTTCTACGAAATCCTTAGACACGTTTATTTTGTGTTCAAAAAACGGGTAGATGTGGCACTTTGGGACATGGTTTAGTCTAGTCTACCCTTGATTGGCTTAGAGTAGACTTGGTAGTGTAAGTTAATGGTTGGACTGGATGATCTTAAAGGTCTTTTCCAACCTAAACGATTCTATGATTCTATGATTCTATGATTTTAATCCCTGTCACCAGATTACAGGTTTAAAAAGACTTGCTTAGAAATCAAAACATGACGTGGTGGTCTTCTCCAGATGCTTACTGCCATTTGGTAGAGTTGTGGCTGTTTACAGTAGTTGGGAATCCAGCTCAAAATTCATTATGCCTGTGGGAGATCTGATTAAAGGAAAAGCAGCAGCCTGTGTAGCCAGTTTAGCCTGGTACAATTCAAAACTCAAGGAGAAAGGTCCATCTGTAGTGAAGAGCAACAACAGCATGCTTTGCATTTCCTATTAGTCATGTCACCAGTGTAATCCTTTTATCTCTGTTGGTTTGTTTGTTTGTTTTACCTGTCAGTCTTCCTGGTTTTTGTTAAGCTCCTCTTGTTTCTTCAGTATGCCAGCCGTACTGTCCTGTCAGAGAATCCATTCCTGGACTGATGTTTTCCAGGGTTCTTTCTAAATCCCTGCTGAATTTTAAATTCACTGCTGTGACCAAGCATACCTTTTTTTTCCACCTCAGCATTTCATCACACCACTCACATGTGCAACCCCAGAACTGTGAAGCATCTGTAGAGCTTTAAATGGCCAAACACTGGCACGCCAGTTGCCCTGGCTGGTTGTGTCATCATAGAGTTACTTCAGTCTTCTAGCAAATGTGGTGAATTTGTAGGATTTTGACATTTGGTTTAATCTGAACTACATGCCAATAAGTACTAAAAGGCGTATCATGTCATTTAGAAGCACACAAGCAGAGACAGGGGCAGAAGCCATAGGGGCGGTCCGGAAGGGGTGGTAGTGGTGGGATTACATGTGTCGGGGGCAGCCAGGGAGATCTGCATGCATCCTGGGCTTTGTTGCAGGTCAGGGTAAAGGGATCATTTCCTCTGAGCAGGAACTCACCAAGGGCATCCCTGGGGGATTTTCCCTGGATCCTAGGGAAGTGCATGCTGCAACAAAGTATATGGAAAAGTTGTAGTAGTAGAGCTTGTACCATGATGTTGGGCTTGCACTTGCTATAGGTGAGGTGGATGTGAATACTTAAGCAGGAAAAAACTTCCAGGTGTTTGGCTTAGGCTGGAAAGACAGATTGAATTCAAGTTGTAGTCTTGTTTTTGAACAGGATCATCTCATTTTTGGCTTACACTTTTTCTAAATAGCAAATCAGTCAGTTTTCTTTGATACAGATTCTTATGTTTTAATGTAGTTTGGGAGCATTACTTAAAATTTAACAAGATAAAAAGTTAAAGTATTGCATTGCAGGAGCTGGATTTTTGTGGGGAAAAAATACCCCGCTGCTTCTCAGAGCGTCCTGTGTCAGAGACCTCAGACTAAACTCCCACAAATTCTTTTGCAGATTACGGCAAGAGAATGACATGGTTGACTCAGCTCCTCAGTGGGAAGCTGTACTACGGCGACAAAAGGAGAAAAACCAGGCAGATCCAAACTATCGGCGATCCAGGCACAGATCTCGATCGTATGTAACCCTTGTCCTCTTTGACGGGAAAGTTAAGGCTGCTGTAGCATGTTAAAAGCAGGAGGAATATCTTCAGTGTGGTGATGGCTCTCATCTGCTGAGGAACAGAGACTCTCACACGTGGCATGTTCTCACATTAGCAGATTTGTCTTTGTGGTCAAACTTCTTTCATATAGTGATTTGAATTTCAAGGTATAAATGACATGAGAAGGCCTTTGTAACGGGACTTGTTAGGAACTGTCTCCATCACCTGGGATGGAGTCCTGGATGGTTTTGTGGCTCATTGAACATTAGTTCTGTAATGAGAACAGTGATTCCCCTCTTCTGGGCAGCATGTTATGTGAAAACATTGAGATTTTGTGTGATAGATGTAGGCATTTTTATGAAATGCATGCACACTTGTTTAATCATATAATGTCTGTAGTATTGTTCCAGATGAGACCAGCTACTGATGTCTCCATATCAAATTACCATTGGCAAGCAGCAGTCAGTGATTTATTGCATCCTGATGTCAGGATTTCCATGATGGAACTGTGCTGCCAGGCAGTG